TGCAGCAAGTGCTGACTGATGCGCTGCGTGGTGTCTTCCCTGACTCTTGGAAAGAAACGAGGATGGTACTGCTGTTCAAGAAGGGCGATCCAGAGCTCCTCAAGAACTGGCGACCTCTCTCGATGATCAATAGCGATGCTAAGCTGTTCACCAAGATGTTAGCCAACCGGTTCAAACGTGTCCTCTCCCGATTGATTACGCCGTACCAAACAGGCTTTATGCCTCACCGGCTCATCTCGGACAATGCGTGGTTGAACCAGACGCTGATGACCAACCTCCGTGATGCAGCTCCTCAGGATCCCAATGTCGCCGTACTCTTGGATCAAGAGAAAGCCTATGATCGGGTCAATCCGACATATCTGGCGATGGTTCTTCGTCAGTTTGGCTTCCCGGCATCGTTGGTATCCAGTGTGTCAAGTCTGTTCTTTGGTACTCGTATCTCCTTGTCAATCAATGGGTGGTTGGGCGCCCCCATCGATCAACAACGTGGTTTACGACAGGGTGATCCGTTGTCCCCTTTGCTGTTCAACCTGGCTTTCGAGCCGTTCCTTAGAACCATCTTGGCCTGCCCTTCTCTTCAAGGCGTCTCAATGTCTACCGCTGTCCGTGCTCCTCTCGCAGGGCGTATCTCTCGTGCCTCCTCTCTCGTGCCGGTCCAAGGCGACCATGATCTCCTACGCGCTCCGGCGACCCCTCCACGGGTGAAGCTGTTGAGCTATGCCGATGATCTGGAAGTCTTCCTGACTTCTACGGCGGAATGGCCTGTGCTGCTGTCTCTTTTGTCGCTCTATGGCAAAGCGTCCAACGCCAAGGTCAATTTGGAGAAAACCGTGCTGTTGTCGCTGTCAGGCGAGGCTCATGCTGATTGGAAGCGAGTGACGGAAACGTCTAACATTGAGTGGTACGACAGCTCGTCAGTTGGCTCTGTGAGGTATCTAGGTTACCCTCTGTATCATACAGAGGAACAGTTGCAGCATTTCCTGAATTCCATTACCGTGAAGATTCAACGTCATTGCAATCTGCTCACCAAGCGGCAGCTATCCATTCGTGGAAAGGGTTTAGTGGCGAATTCCCTTCTGCTGTCTCGCTTGTGGCATCTCCTGCGTGTGGTTGTGGTTCCTGACAAGTGGCTGGAGGAGATACAGCGCGTGGTACGCCAGTACATCGTCTCGTTTTGGCCTACTGTGGCTTGGGATTCTCTCTGCCTTCCTAGGAAGCATGGAGGTATTGGTCTGGTTGACATCAAGAAGCAACATCTCGCCTTGCATCTCATATATGTCAAGCGTCTGCTTCGTCCCAGATCCCCAGCGGATTTCCTCACTCCCTGGCTGATGTATACATTCCATGTATACTCAGGTCATGCTACTGTGCTGCCTTTGCTGCTATACCCACGTACCTGCTGGCCGCGTGTGCGGAAATGCCCTCACTTGGAGCATCTGGCTCGTCTACTCACTCGTTTGCCTCCCTTGACTCTCACTCCTGAGTGGCCGTCTTGGTGGCTCCTAGATCTGCCCTGGTTACAAGTATGCTCCCTGTCTCCCACAGCGACTTTGCCTTTGACTAGGAACAGTGACAAACTGCCACCTCATGCCTTGATTGCCAGCCTCTTGAGCGTGCTCCCCAACTCCCACATCTTGGTTTGCGTGCGTCCCCGTGATACTGCTGCATTGCAACATCTGTTCAATGCCTTGTGCCCCATCGAGGGTCCTCCTGTTTGGGTTGTCCCTGCTCCTCTCAGGTCCGTCATGGCCTTCACCGCTCCAGAGCGAACCGCACTGCTGGAGAATTCCACTACCCCCTCTCCACCCACGGCTAGCTTTTCGCATTGGTTCATCACCACTGGCCCTCGCTCAAAAGCTACAGTGGACAAGATCACTCTCGGGGCGTTACGCCGTTCCTGGCATCCGTCATTTGACATGTTGCGTCGCCCAGCCCATCCTCCTGGCTATCGCCCACCACATCTCCTGCTTCCTCCTCACCTCTGGCGTGATTTCTGGTCTCTCTGTCTCCCGCCCAAGGCATTTACACCGTGGTGGCGTTTGCTGCATGGACATCTCTCGGTGCAGGTTCGCCTGCGCTCCATGAACCGTGTGAAGTATCCTTCCCCACTGTGTAAGATGTGTCATGAAGCAACTGAAGATGAATACCATATGGTCATTGGCTGCAGTATGAAGTCCCTCTTCTGGTATGAGTTTGTCTCTCACCTTGGTCTTGCTGATCTGTTCCCTACGGACGAGGCCATCTGGATTGGGTTGACCACCCTTCACGGCCAGGACAACAATCCTCTGGACATTTCCATCTTGGAACTTCTCGGCGCTGCCTTCTCATCTATCTGGCAACATCATTGGGGCTGCACAATTGATGGTAAATCTTGGATCACTCGGGCTGTTTTCTCCTCTTTTCTGGAAGATCATTCCAAGTTAATTTCTTCTTTCTTAGACATGTAAGACCCTTATGGCACCTTACTGTCTATAATATAAATAAAAAACACATTTAAATACAAAAAAAAAAAAAAAAAAAATTTGATTTATTATATGCCATAGTAGAAGTGTTCATTTTTGGGGTCAAAAATGCAATCGTTTGATTTTTTATAAAAATCATGAGGGATACCTCATGGTTTTGAATCGATTTTTGACGATTTCGAAAAGGTTGGGCAAACGTGTCAGGAAGTAAGTGCTAGTCGAGAGTAATTGTTTGGTATTATTCTGGCGCTCTAAAAACGGTGTTTAACACAAAAAAAAACGGCTCAAATGCATCCAATTTCTGCTGTGATTTGCATATTATTGAGTAGTAAAAGGCAATACAGGTATGCTGTCTGCCCATATATGAGTTATTTTTATTGATACATATGTGGAGTATCATAGAGTTGCCAGGTTTACAGATACTAGTGAGCTATGGAGGTTTTTCAAGTAATAGAATTGCATCAAACTCATGATTGTTGGTGAAAATGAGGACAAGACAGTAGTAGCTTGAGAAACAAACGTTTTGACAGCGGCAATGGCAGCATCAGCCTCCTCAGCAGTAACAGTACAAGCAATGGCACAGCGGTCAGTATCAGCCGTCTTGAGACGCACTCCAAGAACTCATTCCTAGTTGTGGACAGCTAAAACACCAGAGCAAGCAGCAAATCTGGTAAAGCTACCGACCTGACTTGTGCATGATGATGCATTGATTAAATAATGATTTAATATCTGTGGAAGATACTTGCATTGACCTTTGTAATGGCAATGTGAGCAGCAACATAGTTGATACTATTCTTACAAGTCGAACAGGAACAGATCGATCCAGATTGACATCCACATTTCAATCTCAATAATCGCTTAGAAATCGCTCGTTTTTAATATGTTTTGTGAATTTAACGGAAATAAGGCTATTTAGTGAGTAAATCTGCGTATTTTACGTAGTATGTAGAATACTTTTACACTATTACGTTATTATCTAGGCCATACAAGGTGAATAAAACCATTGGCAAAGCCGTCAATGGAAAGGGGGTTTACGGTAGCAAAGTAAAGGTGCAAAACCATGGTAATAACGCGTCTAATTCAATGCTTGATAGCATTGATTTATAGGAGGGTTATACCGTAGCGAAGCAAAGGAGCAAAACCATAGTATTCAAGTAGCAACTTCGGGTTTTTATTTCCATTGTTAATAAGCTTACCAGCAACATAGCGGATCAAAATTTGCATGAATCAGCTTTACCAAAATCAATACGTCTCCTATTCGAATTAAAAATAGCTCAAGCTACAGAAATGCCTTTCCAGTAAATTGCAGCTACCGAAGATGCAATTTATGCCACATAAATAAACTCTATAAAGCAATACATAACCAAATTTGACAACTTTCAAGTCTTCATATCTTGACATGTATACGTTTTTGAACCACCGAAATGACACCAAACAATTGTATTCGAGTAGTAGTAACTTCCTGACACCTTTGCTCAGCTTTTTGAGGACCAAAAAAAACATGACCAAAAATCGACCAAAAAGCATAAGGTACCCCTCATGGTTTTTATCGAAAATCAAACAATCGCATTTTTCACCTTGAAAATGAACACTTTTACTATGGTATATATTGAATCAAAATGTTTCTCTCGACCCAGAGCAACTTCTGAAACCACTTTTATGAGACTTTCATATGCAAAATTTCGACGTTTTAGCCAAAAACCTTATTTCATATTTTGTGGAATTGCTCAATAAGTTCAGTCAAAACATCTATATTACTTGGCACCATTGGAAGCGCCTTGAAAAGTATTTCAAGAATGTATTAGGAAGCGTAGGGTGATCATTACAGTTTACGTAATCGAATATCATAAAATAGATTAAAAAAAGTCGAAAAAAAACAAAATCTGTCCAATCTTGAACAGAAAAAAATAAATTGAGTTTGAATTAGGTTTGGCAGTGGCATTGCTGCTGACTGACCTAAACTCCTTTCTAATGATGACAATGATGATAACAATGATAGGTGCGATGCTGATTAAATGGGGATCATGGAATTAAAAGGACAGTTGTTTAGCCCAAATACTTTTTTGGGGAGTTTTGCCTCATGAAGATGTCTTTTGCAATGACAATATCTCAAAAATATCGCTGATCTTACACAAGTCCTGTAGTATGTACTTATGACCAGTTTTATGTCGCCATCTTATTATGATGTACCATAGCTCTATTATAATATTTGATTTAAAATGTCTTTGATGAGAACCCACAGGGTGACGCCGACTTCCAGCGTTACGAGATAGATCGGCTAGTATTTATATACAAAATGGGTTGTTAGGCAGCTACCTTTGTAATGCTACACCCGTTAATTCACTGTGCTTCGCTATCCATTGATTGTGGCAAATCTCAAATCTTGCGTATTTGAATCAATCAGTAAACACTTCTTAATATAGTCGAAAAATAGATTTACAAATGCTTACTATTATGAAGCACATCTATCGATTTGCATCTTAGATACGTAGTATATATATAAAACAAATTATCTTTATTACGTATTCATGCAATATACTACGCATAAAACCTACACAAAAGCGATATTAGTCCTATTATATACAGTATTAGTATATAGACACTTACTTTTTGTTGATGAGGTAAATGAGCAGGTTGACATTGACTTTGGCCATACCATCCAGCACAGTTACCGTCTGCACACCTTCAAATTGAGTTTGCAGTAGTTCTTCGTAGCGCATATCCACTTGAACCGACGACATGGGCCAACCAGAATAGCTTCCTTCAATGGTAATGACGCCGGCCTGATCCATGGATAAGATGATTGGAATTCTATCGTAGTGTCTCTTTGGGATATCCATCAATTCTAATAGCACCTTGCGTTCATGCAATTGTTTTGCAGTGTATTTGTAAGATCCAAACTTGGGCACAAGACCCAGCTTTTGCAATCCACGCATATGAAAGTATTGTCGAGTGAATGGAAAGATGAACTTTTGCTTTTTCCCCTTCTTTGTAGCCATGGCTGTCATGCAACTATTGAGATAGCCTTCGTAAGAATTGCCTTGTTCCAGTAGATAATCCCGCTTCTCTTGTAGGTGGCTCAATGTCAGTTTCATTCGAGCGAGCTCTCGGTCTCTTTGCATACGTCGTGTGTTCTTTCCAGTGATATCGCGAGCAATCATGTTGATGACATCTTGGTAGGCATTGTTGTTGGCAATAACCTTGCATCTCTCTAAATGAACTACCAATCGATTGGCAATGCTCTTGAGCTGGAAAAATGAGATGGTTTGCAGGTCCAATGGAGGCTCAGATTGACCCAATTGGAGTAGACGTCTTTTGGACACAATGGTAAAGTCTTCCTTGGCCTCTGCAAATTCCTTGTGTTTGAGCTGATTCCAAGCTGTTTCATTTTCAGGTGTAATAGGTGTTTGGAAGATGTGAGCTAAATCTCGACCCGTTTGGATCTTGATGACATAAACGACAAGTCTTTTGGTATCGACCAGCAGTTGCTGAAGACGAGCAGTAGGATCCATTGGGATATTGTCGCAGCGGTTGGTTAGTGTTAGACAGACCATAGATTCAGGCAACTCAATGTCAGGATGATAGACAGATGGACCAATTTCGTTGACAATATCATGCAAAATGCCAGCACCTTCAGGCTCCAGCGTATCCAAGTTGGTTTGAAGGGTATAGTGTAGGTGGAACAATTCGTTGGGAGACAAATAGACGACGGGCTTATGGGTGTTTGTCTGATCTGTGAGTGCGTGCATGCCAAAGTAGCTCTCGGGATCCTCGACGTCAGTTACTATATAAGAGGAAGAATGTCAGGCATTGATGCGTATATACAAAAAAGGTACTTACGAGCAAGAAACCACTCTCCAAATCGCTGTCCAGCATCAGCAACATATTCATTCAGTGGGGCCAAGAAGATATCGTGAGCATCCTCAAACACAGAGCCACTAGAAATGTGCTGCAGCATCTTGGAGACTTCAGCCAGGTTCTTTCTTTGCATGGGACTGATCACAGCGTCAATGACATCGTATTGCTCAGGGGCACTATTCAAATATTAGCCAGACGGTTATCTTGGCATGACACCAGCAACTTACACTATAGCAGGATTCAAGTATCTGTAATAAATAAAGTTACCAATGATTCTGATGATACGCTCATGAGGTTCGCTTGAAAAGTTTTCTTCTAGAATCAGACGCAACTCTCTTGCAACGACCCGAATACCGTAAGGCACAGCATCCACAGTGGATGTGACAGCAGCAAAGAACTTCTCGGTAATTTCTCTCAAGTTTCTCAAGTGGATCACAAAGGTGTCGCGCACCTCTACATCAGCCAACGCCTCTTGGGAAGTGACAGCATGAGGTCGATTGGAAGGCATACCCGTTCTTGATTCTTCATCGTTGATTGTTTTGTGATAGATGCTGACAGGGTCAGTCTCCAGATCCAGAAAATCGTTTTGCACTACTTCATTAACCAGGGGGCTCAGCAAAGTACGGAAGAATTCACGCTCTTTGGCACCGCGGTTTGTTTGGACCACTAGCTTCATGAACGTATAATTGCCTCGCATAAACTCGAGGGTACTTTCTACATCCTTCATCTCTTCAGCGATGCAGTACTTGCAAAGGTTGATGAGCAAGTACTCTTCACGCGCGTTGGTAGCGTAACCAAACAGAGATAGCACGGTGGATTCAATTAGTTTATGGCTGGAATAATCGCCCAAATCTTGTCTGTTTGTCATGGATAACAAGCGAGCTAAGTATTTGGGTTCTGTCTGCAACAGGTAGATCAGTTGCTGGTATAATTCAAGACGCTGTCTACTGTCTTTGTCTATGCCAGCGAGCGAGAAGGGATTTGCGTACTGGTTGTTGATTGCAATTTCACTGATCATGCGTTGCTGCTCCTTCTTCTTTTTAAATGCACCGCTATGCTTCAATACCTCGTCGATGGTAATGGCATTTTTGAGGAACAGTGCAATTTGAATATCGAGTGAATTTATGTGAGCGTCCAGATTGTTGTTGTCCTTGATGTTCTCAATGACTTGCTGACGGAGGTCCTCCAATGCTAATTCTCGGTCAAAGTCAAGGTCACTGTCATCCAGCAAATGAATAAAGCTCTTGACCGTGTTGATGGTAGGATTGGCGTCTGTCGTCAGTTTTCGGTATGCGTTTTCCGCCAACTTGTTCTTGACAAAGGTTTGCACCTGGATTACCTTTTCGATATTGGCCTTGTAGTAATCCATCGTTCTCTTGTAATGGGCTCTTGAGAGATAGCCTCGACAGACGGATTGAAGCTGAACAGCAAATCTGGCTTGAGAAGCATAGATGGTCTTACGTCGAGCAAGTTGATTTCTGGCTAGATTTCCCCTTACATGAGCTTGCAGTTGACACATGAGAGAGACAAAGTCATCCGAGTGATGCAGATCGTGGACTTGGTTAAACTCTTTTCTAGCAAGAAAGGTGCGAACAATGGATTGACACACACGCAGTTTATCTTGATTCACTCTATCTGACCAGTATCTCGCAAGCTTATCCTCGTCAGTAGTGGATTCGATGGATGATTGTGATTGCTCAGAGTCTGATAAGTCCTCCTCCTCTTCTTCTTCAATGATAAGGTCTGGTACATTGGTGTTGTAATCCTCATCCTCTAGCTCATTCAATTCCCTTCGCAACGACGATCCAACATTCATAAAGTTGGGCATAGTGACACCCGACATGTCCAAATGACGCTGAGTTGCGCTCAGTTCCTCATCTAACAAGTTGGGTATGAGGGATGCAGTCAAAACTATGATGTATCAAGACTTACTAGTGAATTGCAACTGCCCAAGCAAATTCTTGATATTTGGAGCTAAATTGCGTCTTGATAGTAAATGGCTGACACGAAATGAGTGGGTGATTAAACACAAATAGAGGAGAATATGTCTTACCTAAGAGCATGAATGCAGTAAATGACTTTTGGAATGTTCTTCTTTTCGTACAAATCAGTCAGTTCAAACCAAAAGATTTGAGGTAGTCTGGCCACTTTGAGTGCCTCGAAAAAGTAATTGATGTTGTCAGAATGTCGAAATTGTAATTTGGTGTCCTATGTTAACAAGATTAAAATTCCAAGCTGCTGTAACAGGAGATGATTTGTACCTGGAATATTTTACGGACAATACCAGGTGCAAACCAATCGGCGAGTTTGGCTAGAACAATGCCATTTCTCATTGACTCCTCTAGCTTGATAATCGGATCAATTTCGTCCTGGAGGCAATCTTCTATCCATTCTTTGGCTTCTCCAATATGGCACAGGTACTCATAGGCTAACAAATTGTTTCTCTGCTTGTCCATCCATTGACTGTTGTGAATCTTGTCATCTCTTTGCAATCGAATTCGTCCTGTATCGATGGTTAGTATCCACAGAAAACAAGAAAAAAAGACATTCGCATGTACCTTGCATGCCTGTATAGTTCAATCATTGAGTTAGCTATGACTATAGATTTCTGTTGCACAACTACTTACCAACAACATCTTGTGCATCTTCAGTGATGGTGGGTATATGCAGATCAGTTAAGCCTTTCTTTCCTGCCATGACAGACAGTCTATTCAACGATGTAGGTTGTAATGCCATTGCTGCGCTATCTAGAATGAATAAAAGAACAAGAGAAATGGAGAAATTGACTTGGTGGCCATGGCTTTTATACCATGTGCATTCCTCTGTAAATGTTCCGCTTACATCTGATTGTGGTCAATGCAGTACCTGGATTTGGTGCCTGAGTGCCGTCATAGCAAATGGCCCTTTACTGTACAGGGCAAACATGATTTAAATACAAACACTGCCGTTGACATCATGTCAATGGCATGGATCACTTTTCAAATAGTTGATGATCAAGTATGGCACGTTACAGCTTGAGAAAGAAAAAAAAAATTCGAGTATTTTCCATGCAGCAAAATGTTTCCTAAAGCTTCTGTCAAATATTAGAAAATTTTATTGATTTAGGTTGTCATGTTGTCTCTCTCTTTCTTTCTCTTGAATGGACCAAGCTCATATATAATTTTTGTTTTTTTAAACTACAAATATAAAAATAAAAAAAACAGAGAGAAACATGTATAAAAAGAACGATTGGGGCTGTGGTGCGTGTATGTATTGTGTCAAAGCGTCGAGTGTGTGTGAGTGTGTGTGTGAGTGTGTGTGTGTGTCTTTGGCTGTATTGCGAGTGAGTGAGTGAATGGATAATATAGATGATAAAAAACAAAAAGAATTTATAGATGATTATTAAGCTGTAAAGAAAGAGAGTTTAAGTACATGCAAATCGTTTTGTGCCAACTATCACGTACCATTGCTCTCCAAGGCTCTGGTGGCAAAGAACTTGACATCAACATCTGGATCTGCGCTCAGCTTTTCAAGAGTAGGCTTAACAGAGCTTTCAACAAGCTCAGTTGTGCTGGAATCTTTTTTCAATAATGGTATCAAAGTCTCCAATGATTTTGCAACGTTAAAGCGAATGTTGGGAATAGGATCTTTTGACATTTCTGTGATTGTAGGAAGAATGGAATCTTTAACCATCAGAGGAGTCAAAGCTTCAGCCATTGTCTACAAAACTGAGTCAGTCAACATGGCAAAAGCACATAAATGCTACACGTACAGTCAATGCAAAAATAGTCGTCATTCTGTGTAAGTAGTTCTCATCAGTTGTCATCTTCATCACTTCGGGGATAATGGCTGCTTTGGCCCATTCAGCACCAAAAACTTCTGTCAATTTCATCAAATTCACAGTAGCGGCTTCACGAATAGAGAATACAAGATCACGGAGCCAGGACATGCATAATTCCAAAAGCTTCTCCTCAAAGAACTTGCTGCCAAATTGCTTGGCTAAAAGTGGAATATATTCAATGATGGCCAAACGGATGCGCCATTGCTTGTCCTCGGATAATTCAACAATAGCTGGGAGCAATGCCTGGGATACACGCTCAATGCCAATGGCTACATGAAAAGTTGTGTTTGATGAGATTCCATCCTCTATGTGCATCTCTGCTATGCTTTATCTGTTTACCTTTGTTGATGGTCTCCAAGTTGGAAATGACATTTAAACGCACATCAGGAAATTCGTCTGTCAATTGTTGCAAAAACAGGGGTAACAAGTATTCCATGGTGCTATATCAAAGACATTAGTTAAATAACCAACATTGCTGCATGCATGATCCACCTACGCGTCTTGTCCAATGATGGGTGCTAAACCACTAATGTCTTTAGCAAGTGCAGCACGGGCATGCTGATTCTCGTCAGTAACAAGCAACTTGACACAAGGCAAAAGGTCCTCAAGAATCACGGATTTATCCACCAACTTAGCATAGCCAGGCACTTGACTAGCAGCAGCAGTTCTGACTTCGCCTTCAGTATCCTTCAACATGCTGACAAAGGCTGTAGTGAAATTCTCTCTAGCAATATCCTGTCCAAATGCGTCTGCAAGCTGTTGTAAAAAATGCACGTAAGAATCCCTGAGAACTCGACTGATTTTTTTCCCTTCAAAAACCTACCTCGACATATTTGGAAGCAACCATATATCTCACTCTCCAGGCCTTGTCATTTGCCAAATAAATGAAAGCAGATAACAAGAGAGTCTTGGTTTGTTCCTTTGAGAGTTTATTGGCAAGGGCAACTAACACTTCGACTGTCAATAGACGCACGGAATCTTGGTTATCTTTAGACAACTTCTCAAACAAGGGAAGCACATCCTCTGGGGAAGTTTGGCCTACAAGGTTCTACAAGGCTCACATTTCAGCATGTATTTAGAGGAATCAACATGAAATACACTTACCACCAATGCCTTTGCAGCAGATCTTCTCACCATTGGGCTATCATCCTCTGCCAATTGCTTGAACAGACTATACATGCAAGGGATCAGATATCAAATCAGTGGTAAATAATACATCATACTTACGTTTTCAGCTCTTGTTGGAGAGGTTCAGATGCTCTTTTCAAGACGGCAGCATAGAGGCCGGTAGCAGAAGTTCTACTGGTAAACCAATCGCCCACAGTGAGTCTCTTGAGGAGAGGGACAAAGTACTTTTCAACATGTTCCTCGGGTAAAATGTCAGCAATATGACAGAGTGAAGCAACAGCCTAGTGTTCATTGTAAGCACAGCGAAAAAGATTCTCTGTAGTGATAAGTCCAGTTTACCTTGTCTCTGACAGTTGCTTCCTCGACAGCCGCAATGTTCTCCAATGGAGGCAAGAGGTAGTAAGCGTACTCCTTGCCACCAACAGCGTCTACCAGTTTACCCAACTCTTCAGCCAAGGCCAATAAGACGTCGTCCTCATCATCAATGGACTCTATATATATATACAAGTATGAGAACACATACATAAACACGTCCAATAACATGCAAAATTCACCTTGGAGGAAAGGCACAAGCTCAGTTCTGGTTCTCTCGACACCGAGAGCGTTGGCGATAACATCCAGCTTCTTTGTAGAGTTCAGTCTCAAAGCAACATCTTCGTGCTTCAACTCGTCTATCAATGTAGCGACATTGCTGGTTTCCTCGTTGATGGCAGGAGGATCCTCATCCATGAATTCAGTGGGTGGAACTGCAGTGTCAATATCCATGTCGGTAGGCATCTTTGTACTTGAAAATAAATAAAAAGGTTGAAGAAAAAGAAAGAAAACAAAAAAAACCTTTAGTGGAGAAAGTATTAAAGAGTGAACAAACGGTGTGAGTGTGAGTGAAGCATGTAAGCGCAATTATAAAAAAAAGCGAGTCAGTCCATGACGTGTATAGAACATGCTTCCTGTATCAAATGCAGCCGTGGATATACGTTCTTGGCGAGCATCTTGATCTGCTGGTCTCATTGTCGAGGGATCCAGTGCATCAGACAGTGTCTTTATGTAGAAATGTCAGGTCTTGCATGGACATTGGGGGTGCTATCTTTCGCACTAAAGATGGCGGAACCTTGTTCAAACAGCCAAGATGACTATCGACGACGTAACACCAAAGATAATTGATCTACACCTCCAACTATACAAACAAGCAAGACGTCTGTCTTGTTTTGAGCCAAGTAGTTGCAGTCAGCAGTCAATATGATGTCTGGATCGACTTGATGTGGATAATGTCCAAGGATCACCCAATGTCATGATCCAGATCACCAACATTTGACTGTACCCAGTTGCCCTTAGCAACCCCAGGAACAATGGCATAGTAACGCTCTCTAATCAGGTATAATCCTGAGACAATCCGCCAAATCAATAGCAATGCTACAATCAAAATAGCAAAGAAAAATAAAACTATTTGAGTTTATTGTGCTCGTTTAATAAATAATCTAAGGGAATAGGGTAGAGAGAAAAAAAAAGTTAATCGGCAGTGGTAGAGTCAGTAGGTACAGAAGAAGTTTCCTTAGCACTAAGAGAAAGAGGACTGCTGGGTAGCTCATCAGAGCTTGCCTCTTCAGCAGCCTCACTAGTTCCAAAAGAGAATTGTTGAAGCAATGAGCTGCGAAGAGCATCAAAATCGATGGCTGTCTTGGGGATGTCCTTGATGTCACTGGCAATATTCTTGCCAATGTCATCCTTGATAAGATCTCCAATAAGATCTCCAAGATCGACACCAAATTGAGCTTCAGAGTAAACTTGATCTTCTTCCGAGACCTCAACATCAGCAGAACGATGGACCATGACTTGATCCCACATTTCAGGAGCCTAGACATTTAGTGAAAGGGTTAAATCAGTAAGCATTGGGTGGATTGAATGGCTCTACTTACAGCACTGATGGCAGCCTCATCAGCAGAGGCAGAGGCAGAGGCAGAGGCAGCCCAAGCAGAGGAAGCAGATGCATAAGCTTCGCTACGACGGGCCTTCAAGACGGCCTTCACAGAGGCAGCAGGAGGGATATAGTGGATTTCAGAGGCAGAAGCAAAGGCGGATGCAGCATTAAAATCTTGGGCAGAATATTCATTGGAGGCCACAGAGGCGGGAGTAGAAGATTCAGAGTAGCTGCCATCCATATCGTAAATGGCACGCTTGTTATGTTTAAGCTTTGCGTTGGGAGTTGACTTGGCAGCGGCTGAGGATGAGGATGAGGCAGCATCATCAAAACCAATGCTTAAGCCAGCACTCACACTGGGCACTTGAACGCTGGGCAAGGCGACATCGGGCAAATCGACGCTAGGCAACTCGATGACGGGATGAAGCAAACTATCAATAAACTTTCCAAAATCAGCGATAATATCATCAAATATGCTGTCGGCAGTTACAAGCGTTTTTTTATTGCGGACTATCATATATATATATATAGTTAATCATTGGAGCTATATTAAATCGAGGAGATACTTACGGTTCTCAGCCTTGACAATAGCAGCTTGGACCAAGACAGATTCAACAGCAGCCTTATAGACATCCGAGGCAGACGCAGACGCAGCAGCAGAGACAGAAGCAGACGCAGGAATGACTTCAGCGTCTTCCAGACCCATCTTGATCTGCTCAGCAGCCTTGACGTCAAGAGCATTGATGCCCAACACCATAGCAGTTGTCGCAACCATAAATGTAGTAACGTTAACCATGATTAATGACAGTAAATGATGAAAGAAAGGTTAGAACGACTGGTTTAAGGTATCGGCTGTCTCGTATTTATACATGTGCATCGAGACATTCCTTTGGTTTTGGTTCCAAGGTTTTATTGAAATAATTCCAAAGAGCCTACATTTCATGTTTTGTGTATAGATATTGTCGTGGTGTGATTTTTAAACTGGCCGATTTTGTTTGGATGTTTGCATGATACAAGTATGTTGTTATGGCTTGCAATCAGCGACTGATCTTGACTGCTGCATACTCCATGGCTGCTCTCATTTCCTGTGTAGTAGATTACTTGACTAATTGTACACAGAGTTGATTCAGGTGCATTTCAGGACAGATATGAGTATACGAAAAGAGACTAAAAAATGAAATGTTTGCCCCCTTTGTAGATTTAAGAAATTCCTGGCATAAGCATTCTCAATAACATGACACGCCTATCTTGTTGTCAATTTCATTAGACCTGCACATATCAACACTGCATTTAACTTTAAATTAAGGTTATTACTGCAAAAAAGCTTTGAAATGCTTAAAATTGCATTTCCTCTCTAACAATTTTATTAAACGCTTCAGGATTCTCTAAATACATATGATGTCCACCGTTTGGCACTCTAAAGACTTTGGTGTCTACCTTCATGTTTTCTTTGGCTTTTTCAGCTGCTCTGTAATCCATCCAGTCTTGCTCACCGTAGATAAATACTGTTGGCATCTTCAATTCGGATAATCTGTGGAAGAGTGGCCTGCGAGCATAAGCACCAGGAGACAAAATAGCCGCTAATGCAAATTCGCCAGATCCAGTAGACGCTGTAATGTTGTATCTAAAGATGGATAGTTAAGTTTTCAAAGCTGATCAACCAAACGCAGATCAAATGTACTTACAAGTAGTCATAAAGATCATGTTGTTCTCCCTCTGTCAAGTGAGCAAATCGTCTAGAAGTATAGGTGTGGACTAAGCTTGGTCCGAAAGGCCCAATCATGCGGATAATCGACATAGGTGTAACATTACGATCCCAAAGATAGGTGGCCCATGCTGGTATCTTTCTTCTGCCTCCCTCAGGCTGCTTCTGCACTTGTTGGTTGCGATGTTCTTGTTGATTCGCGATATTTTCTGCCACTTCTGCTTCAGCTTGATAAGATGCTCCAATCTCTGATGCTTGCTTTTCTAACGTTTCTTGAGGGTTCTTATCATTGACCATCTTTTGTTGCTCCACTGCGTTCTCTGGGATTCCAGCGGGGGAAACCAAGATCAGCTTCTCCACACGCTCTGGATATTTCAATGCATAGCAAGTGGCAAAATATCCTCCCAGTGAATGACCAAACAGTGTCATTTTCTCTAGTCCAACCTTTGCTCTCCAATCCTCCAACGACTCTACAAAGTGCTCCTCCACCTACATAGCGAATCAATACAAATGATAACACAAAGCGAATATTGAAATACGTACATTCGTGACGATATCGTCCCATGTTTGTGTTGAAGACTTTGTCAAGGTCCATTTTGGTCTTGACGAGCGAGCCATACCGAGCCAATCCAAGGCAAACACTCTCCAGCCCTTTTCTTGCGATAAGCTTTCAAAATTTCTGTAAAAAAATCCCAATCCAGCACCGTATCCATGACACATGACCAGGTTGTGATTGCTTGACTCATTCTTGATGTCATTTATCAGATCTTGCTTGGGCTCTGATTCGAATTCAAAGGGTTTTGCTTGAGACGGTTGCTGCGAAATGTACAACGTATTGATTTGTCTGGCCAGTTTGGAGGAAAAGATATTTTCAGAGTCAATAGAAATACGGCCCACACGGGCATAGATGGGGATGCTTGGTTTAACATCAGGCAAGGCACCGTAGATACGTTTGATGATGCGAGCTTCTGCAATACTGGATGTTTTTTCAGATCGATGCCACCAATTCTTGATGAAATTGAGTCTTGTAGTAGGAGGGATCACTGCAGGCAAAGGGTTTATAACAGAGATATTTGTTTTATCAACGAATTCGGCCATATTCGATAAATGCGTTTCTTACTTTTTGGTAGTAAAACGTTTTGAAAGAAAAGTGAAAAAAGAGGGGTAAATGATTTAACCCTTTATACCTAAAAGCTGGAATACAGAGACTCATATTGCCTAAATTGGCCATCCACGTAATGAGGATGAAGCAAGTTTTATTTTGAGTCATATACTTACGGTAGATACTACTGCGCTTACCAGGTAAGACACTAGACGCTCAAAGCATCTTGTTTATTTTGGGAAAATGCTTTGATCTCTTATATCCTCTATAGAGGCGAGCATTTTAGACCTCATGTCAAGATGATGTAGTAATGCATCGTTCAAAGATTTAATGTTTCTCGGATCGGCTGATGAAAGATTTGCCGACAATGCCTGATTTGGTATAGAATGACGAATCTCTTTCAACCCAAGAACCCAAATCAAGCAGAACCACATGAAAGGAAATTGCGTTGGCAACTGTGGCTACTAAGCTTGACATTTAAGGAATCCAGAGCAGATGAGATATTGCATTCTAGACATGTAAATAGCACCTAAATGTAAGCGCAATAAAACTTATACCGTCGAAGCGCAATCAACAAGCAATGAGCTTTACTGTAAGCTGCATTCCACAGGAGGTCTAACGGATGCAACAGACACTCTGAATGTTTTAATAAGAAAATTAAGCCTCCAAATTGTATCCGATATAAACCTGCATAAAAAAAGCAGAATAAACTAATCTTGCTACACAATGTTACTTGTTTAATGCGTAATTTCTTCCCTGTGGGCATTCAAAAGCATCGTTTACGTTGATGGCAGTGAAAGCATTGATTTTGTCAGCAAAAAATAATTGAATCTCCGGTTGTTGTTTTTTTGTTCAAGATTGGACAAAATTAAAAAATTTCGACTTGGTTGAAGTATTTCGCAAGATTCAACTATAAAAATGTGCTGATCATTTCACGCTCGCTTAAGCCTCCTTGGAGTACTTTTTAAGGCGCATCTAATGGTGCTAATTATAATAGATGTTATGAACAAACCTATTGAGCAATGTTGAAAAGTATGAAATGAGATTTCTGGCCAAAATGTTGAGGTTTTACATATGAAGGTGTCACAAACAAAGTGTCAGGGGCTGCTTTGGATCGAAAACAACATTTTGATTTATTATATGCCATAGTAGAAGTGTTCATTTTTGGGGTTAAAAATGCAATCGTTTGATTTTCTATTAAAATTATGAGGTATCTCTCATGGTTTTGAATCGATTTTCGACGATTTCAAAAAGGTTGGGCAAACGTGTCAGGAAGTAAGTGCTAGTCGAGAGTGATTGTTTGGTATTATTCTGATGGTCTATAGCGACTTGTAGCGCGAGAAAACGCGACCCAAATGCGTCCAGTTTTGGCTGTGATTTGCATAGTTCAGCGTAGTAGGTGGTAATGCTAGTATGCTGTTTGCACAAATCTGAGTTTTTTCTATTGATACAGATAGAAGAGATGTCAAATCCACGTTTCAAATCGCTTAGGGTCGGTATCCATATGAAAGAAAGTGAAATTCAATATGAAACTGCATGTCATGGCAGAGTAAATGCAGTACATGTCAAGACCACCCTGTAAACAAGGCCCACGTAGCACTGCCCTCTTTGCAAAGAATCTACGCTGGCTTGGGCTGCATAAATTAAGAAACTTGATGGATTCAGCTAACGACACTGCAATGTTTTTATTTACGCGTATTCCAATGCTAAAACGAAATCACTGCCCCAGGGAACATGGAAATGAGGGACGCTCTTTTCAAAGCAGGAAAATGGTAATCCAGCATCAGCCAAGAACAACTCACCAGTGACATTACGAGAAGTGCATCCAGTATATGGAGCGCCAAGACACAAGGTCCATTTGGGATTGATGAAAGTATCACTGGCTTGACCATCATTGGGGTTAACACCACTTGGGAACTCGATACTCAGGACAGGTGCCTTGTTGTTGTTGGCCCAGTTCATTTGTAATTTAATAGCAGGTGTGATCTTGAGCATGTCTGAACCTAATAATGCGTCAACAATGATATCGACAGGTGTAGTATATTGATCAGGAAGTTCTAATCAAATGGCATAAGTATCATAAATTCACCGGTACTATAATGTTTTTTTTTTCTTACCATCAAGTGAATACACAATACGAGCACCCGAGAATTTAGCCAATTTCTTGTACTGCTCCACAGTGGCTCCACAATACGTGTCTTCAGACATGCTAATGATGACCTGACAACCACGATTAGCCAAATGACGAGCGGCAGCAATACCTGATTCACCAATAGCGGTGGGACCAGCCAAGATAACGACCACAGGAGCAGCATTATGATTGTCAGGTTGAATACGGCGATGGCCTCCAATTGCCTTCAAAACCATCGTACTGATACCAAAAGCGCCGTTCTCAACTAATTGCGTTTGCGTCAAACCTGTTTCTCTTCCAATCAGCTTTGCAACTTCCATTTGGTTGGCATTGATGCTGGGAATTTGAATGCCACCAGACACTGTTAAGATACGAGCGGCATGGTAGTTAGCAGTATTGCTCTCGACACCATGAAGGTTTTCTACAGATTTGGCCTGTTGCTGTTGTTGATTGGATGAGCCATTTCGTCTCACTCGAGGAGGGATGAGAGAAGCAGGAATACTAGAGGCAGTGGAGGATGAAGAGACAGGTGATAAGGGTTTTGTTTGTTTTGTCAAAGCCTCAATTTGAGGTGAAGACGTGGATCGACTCTTGATAGCAGGTTTTTCATTCAGCACCAATGAATCCAACTTGCTGTTAAGCTGTTGCTGTTGCTGTTGCTGCTGTTGCTGCTGCTGTTGTTGTTGTTGTTGTTGTTGTTTGGGAATATCATTTTGACTGGTGTTGGATTTGGTGGCCTTTTTTTTGATATTAGGCGTAGATGAGTTGCTGCTGCTACTTTGATCTGTGCTTGTTGCTGCTTTTCTGTCATTGGTCTTTTTGACAGTGCCCTTGTTGCCCTTTTCGAAATCTGCATAATCCTCAAATACGACAATCTCCTTGACAGGCTTGATATTTTTTTTACCGCCAAACAATGGCTTCTTGGGTTTGGGGCTCGCTACAGGAGAAGATGTGACGCTGATGATGGCAGGATCCTGGAAAGGCACTTGAGAAGAGGGTGTTTCCTTTTTCTGTTGCTTTTGCTTTTGTGGTTGTCCTTGTTGTTGTTGAGCTGACTGTTGTGGTTGTCCTTGTTGTTGTTGAGCTGACTGTTGTGGTTGCTGTTGTTGTTGTTGCTCTTGAGGCTGTTGTTGGAACAAAGCAGAAGGATCCAACGATTTGAGGCCAGGTTGCTGTTGCTTCTGAAACATATGCTGAAGCATGTTATTGGCAGCAGGCTGAGGTTTGGGTTGTTGCTGTTGCTGGGGAGATTGACCAATTTTCTCAGTATATATGATAGCAGGGTCCATCAGAGTATTAGTGCTATTTATAGGCGATTTATCATTTCTATACATGGGCTCTTGAGTTGATATAATAGCAGGATCTCTTGGCATATTTTGTTGAAACAAGATGGCAGGATCCATGTGCATTGCTCCAACCAGAGGGGAATGCTGCTGATATGGCATTGGATGAAACTGTTGTTGTTGTTGGAACATCAATTGCTGTTGCATCTGGAAATGGTGCTGTTGCTGTGCCATGTGCTGCTGTTGAGCCAGCATGTCTTTGTGCTTTTGTTGCTCTAACTGCTGTTGTTGCTGTTGCTGCTTCTTTTGCAGCTCCTCCTTCTCTGATGGCTGTGGCGTGCTTGTCTTGTTCATGTCGAGCACCTCCAAATCCTTAATATGCGTCGTGTTGATAGGCAAGATGGCTTCTTTGGCGTGATAGCCATTGGCCTGCTCAATGGTAGCTGATACACATCCAACATGAGTAATCAGCTGCACACACTTTCAACTAGCAACTTACCATCCTTCAGCAAGAGATGGCCCTGCTTGTCCTTTCCTTGAATGTAGCCTCTGATAGTGTCATTGTTGTTGAGTACAATCTTTACGAAAACGCCAAGGTATTTATCCATTATCAATTCAACTTTTTCTTTGTTATGATGAGAACACGCGTCTTGATATATATAAGAGAAAGAAGGAAAGAGAGAGAGAGAGAGAGAGAGAGAGTAGGATACAACGAAAGTTTTTCCCTTTTTATACCCATTTCAAATTCATTTCATGTGACGTGGTGAGAGAGCGCAAAGCATCATTGCATCTACAGCAGAAATGTAACCTTCTTTTTCTCTCACTTCCTGCTTGTATAATCATGTCTCTGTTTGATGATTTCTTAGAGTCCACTGAAGCGACAGCAGTAGAAGCAAGATCAACCTTGGACCTGAACAAGCATGAGCAACATGTAGACGATATCAGCAAACCGGTCAAGAGCCCCAAGGTACTCTCGCTGCTGAAATATAAAAATATCATGCTAATTTGAAATGTAGAGAGAAACAGGCTATGTGGCAGCAGGATCCCACAAGGGAGGAGATCCTCTCTTCTCGCTGCAATATGTCCAATTTCAGCTACCTGCGTCATTAGTGTACATGGCAGTAGAGAACAATATACTGGCTGCTGTATTGGATAACTTTCGTATATTGAGAATTGACCTTGATAACCCACTGGAAGTAGACGGTAAATTGCTTGTGTAATGTGAAGTGGAATCCCTGTTTATTTTCTATATGATAGTGGTCGAGATATCCAGAAAGCCAAGCGCCACCAAAGTATTGCAATTGTTTCTTGATCCCACCGGTCGACACATTATCGTAACAACTGACAATGGCGAGAACTACTATCTATTTCACAAATGGAGACGAACCAAGGAATTGGCCAAATTGAAGGTTTCTTTTTTAATGCACAGACCTGTTGCCACCAAGCAAATGACTGATCTTCATGTAGGGCACTGTCATCACCTCCATTGCGTGGAACAAACGAGCCAGTTTATCAGACACATCCACCCGAGAAATACTGATTGGCACCAGCAATGGCATTGTGTACGAAACCTGCTTGGAACCTACAGATGAATTCTTTCGTCGAGAGGAGAAATATTTGATCCAGCTCTATTCGCTGCATGAACCCAACATGCCTATCACTGGCTTGCATTTCGAGCGATTCCCTTCAGACCGTCGCAAGTACCTGATCATGCTATCAACACCCACCCGTCTCTATCACTTTATCGGATCAGTGAAATACACAAGCACCACCACCACCAGCAGTGACCATGATTTACCTGCTGCTGTAGGAGACCGAGCACTATTCGAACTTGTTTTTGCTGAATACAAACACAATCCTGAATTCCAAGCACTACCCAGTGATCTCGACTATAGCAAAATGCAGTTTTTCAACCGATTTCCAGAACTGCAACTCAAGGGAGTGCCACAGACATTTGCTTGGTTGACAGGCGCCGGTATTTATCACGGCAATCTCGACTTTAGTGAAAAGGACGACCATGTCATTACAGACGCCAATTTACTGCCATTCCCCCCAACGACCTATGATGAAGTATCCGGTAACTTAGTCACTGATATACCCATTTCTATCGTGATTACAGAATTTCATTTCATACTGTTGTATGCGGGATACGTGCGAGCAGTTTGCAGACTGAACGACAAGATTGTGTTTGAGGAAGTGATCCCGCTTAACAAGGACGAAGTAGTGCGAGGCTTGGCTGTGGATGACATGAAGCGGACGTATTGGATCTACACCTCAGATGCCATGTATGAGCTGGTGATCAAAGACGAAGACAGAGATGTGTGGAAACTGTACCTGCAGAAGAAGAATTACACAGTGGCATTGCAGTACTGCAAGGAGCAATCGCAACGAACGCAAGTTTATACAGCACACGCACAGGAAGACTTTGATCAGCGTCGTTACATGCAGAGCGCAGAGTATTTCGCCAAGAGTGCCGTGTCGTTTGAAGAAGTCGCCTTGAAATTTACAGAGAAGAAGGAAAGAGACGCATTGAGGTTCTTTTTGATCAATCGACTGGAGAGACTCGGGCCCAACGATAGAACACAAAAGACGCTAATTTCAACATGGCTGGTGCAATTGTATCTGTTTAAGATGAACCAGTTGGAGGATGTGGCAGCGTCAGTCAACTTTACATCCACAGGTGGCACCATGACACAGTCATCCAAATTCTATCAAGATCAGCAACAGAGTATCAAGGACGAATTTCGCTCATTTTTAGAGACATACGGTGTCTATTTACACATCCCCACCACTTACAAACTGATATCGAGCCATGGATTTGGAGCAGAGCTGCTGTACTATGCGTTCTATATTGGTGATTATGAAAAAGTGATTGATAATTGGATATCTGAAAAGAAATGGGACAAGGCAATTGAAACACTGGATGGGCAGGTAATATAAGGGGTGTTGAAAGTAGAGTCGTATTTGATACTAAGAGAGATGGCATAGAACAAGAACGAGTTGTTCTATAAGTTCAGCACTACGCTGATGGAGAATTCACCAGAAAAGGCTGTAAATATGTGGATTAATCACCCCAAGTTGAATCCAAGGCTTCTGATACCCGCTTTGTTACGCTACAACCACTCTACAAGGGAAGATCGAGCATCAGAGGTACGGCAGGTGGACGGTGTATACAGAAATAGGGCTAAATCATCAAAATTAGAACCAAGCCATACGCTATTTATCGTACCAGGTGTCCACACTGGGCAGCACGGACCCTATCATTCATAATTTCCTATTGACATTGTACGCTACACAACCCACAAGCGATGAAACAGCTTTATTGACCTTTTTAAAGAATGAGGTAATAGTCCAGTCTGCACACCTTGTTTGGCATGTCTGCTGACTCAAATGACAGGGCCGAGAAATGCACTATAAGCTGGATTATGCACTGAGAGTGTGCAGCCACAACAATAGAACTCAAAGTTGTGTACATATCTACAGTCAAATGGGGCTGTATGAAGAGGCAGTGGATTTGGCATTAAAGGTAATTTGTGTGCATAGACAGGTGGATGGCACCGTCATTCATTGACTTTTTACGACAGCACCGAGACTTGGATTTGGCACGCATCAATGCAGAGAAACCAGAAGACGATGATGTGTTGCGAAAACGATTATGGATTAGTATTGCCAAATATGTAATTCAGGATAACAAGGACATCAAAAGGTGAGAGCACACTCTACGCAATTGACTGCATACGCTCATACAGTCTTTAGTGCCATGCAATTCCTGAAAAAATGCGACCTACTCAAGATGGAAGACATTCTGCCGTTCTTTCCTGATTTTGTACTTATTGATGACTTTAAAGATGAAATTTGCTCTGCTTTAGAAGAATACAATATCAACATAGAAGATCTGAAAACTGAAATGGATAATGCCACATTGAGCGCCGATCACATTAGACTTGATATACGTAAACTAAAGAAAAGGTAACTGCACTCTACACGATTGTTTATAAGAAAATCTAACTTATTTTTCATGTTCTCAAGATTCGCCATTGTTGAAGAAGATCAGATGTGTTGCTTGTGCGAATACCCATTATTGACGAGACAGTTCTATGTGTTTCCTTGTAACCATGAATATCATGCAGATTGTCTTCGCAACAGAGTCACAAAGCATCTACCTACACGACAGATCAGAAAACTAGCAGATATTCAGGAACAGCTTTCACGCGAGTTCAAATTGGCTAGAACAATGCAGTCTGTGGAGGATGAGAAGGCGATCACTGCTCGGATTGAAGATTTGAGACATCAATTAGACGACATCGTAGCCCATCAATGCGTGATGTGTGGCGATATCATGATCAACTCAATTCATGTGCCTTTCATTGGTGACGAGGAAGCAGATGTAGTGGCAAATTGGGCTATTTAATCACTTTAATTCAAATAAATCCTTTATACCACTCTTTTCTTTTACAAACTGCTCGCTTCCTAATTGACTCCATTGTCTTAATATGATAGCTCTGTGGAATTTGAGGCTTTATAGACTAAAATTCACGGAAAAAAAAAGAATAAAAAAAAACAGTAAAGTCAACTTGATAAAGGTCTATTTTATTATCAAACTGACAGGTGTAAAGTAAAACTGAAGTATCTCTACTGGCCAGGTAGATGACCCTTCTTATATACTATAACAATGGATAAAAGTTCTATTAATTAGATTGACAAATAAGTCAACTGAGATCAACTAATGTCTAATCATGCTAGAAGACAACTCCAGCAAGCTAATCATGATTTAGCTTTGCCTGGATGAATAATTAGGCTCTCATCCGAAGTACTCTGATCTATTCTTTCTATAAGGATAATTAATATCGATCTAGTAGCATGTATCCGATAGGTACAATCTCCTTAGTCTATATCAATAGTACATATCTGAGTGTATATCGCTGAACATACATCTTTAGCATGTTTCTGGATATATGGCATGTCTGTAGCATGTCTCATATACAGTACAAGTCTGTAGTACATAAATTATCTGTAGCTAGTATCACGGATATAAGCATGTGTCTTATAGCGTGAATCATAAAGTGCACATCTGAAGCAACAAGGTCATATTGCATTAATCTTGGTGCTTATCTAGATATGGTAAACATCCGTAATCAATGTTGGAATACAAGTATAAGTCTATAGCGCCATCCATGTCCGTGGTGCCATCTATGGCCTATATCTTATATAGTATGAATCTTATAGTACTAGCGTATCTGAAGTCCATATCTTCTTATAGTATAAATCGATATTGTACATCTAATCCAGTGTACATACAATTTATATCTAAATCTGGTAACTGGATGAACTGTCGGAATGCAGATCATAGTGGATGTATTCCACAAGCTCAAAAATAAAGCGCAACAGGGCAAAACTCATTGACTTGCTGCTCTAGCATCAATATTTTAAAACTGGTTAATTTTCAAAATTTTCTATTTCTCAGGAAACGATCCCCTCCAATCTGAAATCCCATTACTTCATTGTTTTTATTACAATATTTGGTTGTAGGAGCATACTACTTTCAAAGCTCTAGCATCAATATTTCATGTTGTGCCAGAAGGGCTACAACTGTCTATAAAGATTAAGGTATTCTTGATGGGTAGATATGTCTGTGTTGTGCAACAACATGGACAAGCTATGATAAGTGAAGTGCATCTCAGCTATCTAAATACTGAGGTTCACCAGATGTGATAAGCGTTGTACAAGATAAATTGCTACTTTGGCATTCAGAACTTAGTATAAATAGAATAACTCTTGTCTTCATCAATAAATCTTTAGTTTTTGTGTCTGATCTTATTCAAATAAGTCTTTTCTTGTTTTTATAATATTGAACATTTTTTATAAGCTACAAATAATAATCCTTTTATTCTTTGTGCTTAACATTTTTTAAGATCGTGTAAATCAGAATCTTCCAGATTTTAACCTACCTATCTAATTTAAACCAAAAATATGACTATGAATGATTCTACTGTGTCTCCTGCAGAACAGAACAAGAGTTCAGATGTTCAAGCTGTTGGAAGCGAGCTTTCATACGGAGGAGCTGTAGAGCGACTTCGTCAGGAGGTTCATGGGTTGATCGCTGAAGTTGCGAACAGTGGGGACAAGTCGGACGAAGAGGTCGACGCTTTGAAGGCTACCCTGTCAAAGAAGTGCTCTAACTTGGAGGCTATAGAGAAAGCTCTCTCTATGGTCACACCTAACCAGAGTCCTTCCCAAGTAACAGTGGTTAGTCAAGGTGCGGCTAATAGTTCAACTGTACCTGGTGATCTTCCTTTGTTCCAATGGTTTGGACGTGTCAAAGATGAAAAAAAGGAAGTTTTTGCCAACATTGAGGAGTGTTGTCGCCGGTTTTCCGATAAGTTGAGCAGTTGCACGCTTGATCTTGACGAACACTGGTATCGTTTGCTTCCTCCTTGTCTTCCCGGCGATCTTCGCAATTGGCTTGATGAGTTTGTGAAAGCATCTGGCTCCACTGTGTCTTGGGCTACCTTGAAGGGAGCTATCATCGGTCGTTTTGGTACACCAAAAGAACAGCTCAGATTCGAAAGAATTAGGGAGTTTCTTCGTTGTACTAAAGGAAACGAAGAATCCGTTGATGGTTTTGTAGAGCGGTTTAAGACGTTGAGAAATAGAGCTGACATCAGTGATAAGGGTGTCGTTGCGATGGTGTTTTTTGACGCTTTCCCCAAGGTTACCGCTAGGTTGCTAATGGTTGCTATGAGTCAGGCACCAGAATCGTCATTTTATGACATTGATTATGTGTCCTCTCTCGTGCGCAAGATGGATATGATGGCTATTGAGACGGGTCAAGAATCTTTGGGCTCTGTTTTTGATGGAAGAAAACGCGCTGCTGACATACCTGTTTCGAACGAAGCAAAGAAGTCTCGGTACGCACCTTCTTCTAGTGGAAACGCTTTTCAAAGTAGCTCTTCGTCGAGATCCAATGGTCCCTCGTCCAACTCTCCACGTTCTAGTGCTAATCGTTTTGGCAAAACATTTGCTGAACATGTTGCTGAAGGGACTTGCTCCAAATGTAACGGTCCTCGACCAAAGGGGCAGATGCATCACTGCAACACTGCTATTCGTACTGGTGGTGGTAACACCCATCAGGGCAATGGTGGTAAAAAAGTTTTGCGTGCCATGACTAAGAAACGTGGTGGCAAACATTCGATGGATGCTGCAATCCAAGCTGCTTTTCTCTCTGCTCGTGTTGATCGTGCGTTAGCTGAGAAAGGTACTTCTTCCCCTGCTGTCTCCTCTGCTGAACAATCGGTGGATGATGTTGTCCTTGCTCCTTCTTCTGGTGGTAGTGACAATGTTGATGTTGACCAAGATGCTGTGATGAGTGAAGCTCATGGTATCTTTGAGGATACTGACCTGGTGAATCGTGCCCAGTCTATTCTTCTTGAAAAAGAGATGAGTAGCATGTCTGTGGACGACGATACGCTACAAAATATATTTGCTCAGCAATGTAAGTTTGATGCTAGATTTAGTGCTCCACCTACTATGACCACCAATGCTATTTGTGTTCCTATTGTGGTTCAAAATGTCATTTGCTTTGGCTTAGTGGATACGGGTGCTACGTTTTCGTGCGTCACTGACAAGTTCTTTCAATTCTTAGGAGGAACCTCTCTTGCTGGATTTGAGGCTAATGATGATGATGAGAGCTTTGTTCAAATGGCTCATGAAGTAACGACTGTGCCTAGAATAGGTGCGGTACGTTTGCACATTAGCTACAATAAATCAAATAAAAACCATTTGTTTGAAGTATTTCCATTCTATTCTGAGGAAAACGTACCTGTATTGCTTGGTATGGATATTTTGTCCAAGCTTGGCATTGGTCTTACGGGCTTGGTGAGTCAACATGGCTTTCAATCAGGTCCTCGTGTACCAGATCCTATTGATGATGGTATTACTCCAAACGCACATCCTTTTGGTAGTGAGGAAGAGAGACAACCGTTTCTACTTGCACTAAAGGGGTTATTAGAAGAGAATTCGCGCATTGATATGAAGAATACTCAGTGTAATCTGCCGGATTCGATTATTAAGCTTGATACTAAACCAGGTGCTGTCGCTTGGCGAGCTCAATATCCTTTGCCTGAAGCTTATCGTGATGCTGTTGCCAAACAAATTCAGATATGGCTTGATGAGGGTGTTGTTGAAAGATCTGCTAGTCATACACGTTTCAATCATCCATTGTTGGTTGTAAAGAAAAAGGACGCTGATGGTAATTACACAATGTCTAAGCCTAGAGTGGTGTGTGACGTTCGTAAGTTGAATGCTATCTTGGAAGTGGATGACAAACAACAGTTACCTTTGATCTCTCATATCCATCAGAGCATTGGTACAAAAATGATTCATACTTGTCTCGATATCCATGCTTGCTTTACTAGCTTTGGTTTGGATCCAGAGCAAGCTCATAAAGTGTCATTTACTTGTCCCTTCACGAATATCCAATACACCCATAAAAAGGCTGCTTATGGAATTCGCCATGTCGGATCGGTGGTTGTACGCACATTGCAAACACTGCTCTCTGATTTGAATACAAGCTCTGGTTCTACTTCGTTTCCTACTGATGGTGATCACTCGGTTTCCTGCTATGTAGATGACATCTTATGCAGTAGTAATGGGAGCCTACAAGATCACTATGCGTTGGTTGCTGAGGTAATTCGTCGTTTAACCGATGCTAATTTGGTGCTCAATCCTGAGAAAGTCGTCTTCGCTCAGCGTAGTATTTATCTCTTGGGATGGAGTGTTATTAATGGTAAATTACTGCCTGACGGTAGAAAACTTACCAACATTGCAGATTGGCCGGCTATTACCACTGGTCGTCAATTGGCATCTTTCTTGGGTTTAATGTCGTACTTTCGTGCTGCCATTCCATGTTATTCTCGTTTGACTCGAGATCTTGATAGCTTGAAACAGTACAAAGATCTAACAGATGTTTGGAATGAGTCTCATACAAAAGCGATTGCCGACTTGAAGGATGCACTTACGATGGCACTTGTGCTGTCACCTCCTGATTTTTCGATTCGATTTCACTTGGCTACTGATGCTAGTTTAACTGCTCTTGGCGCGGTTTTATATCAAGTGGTCAACGATGAAATTCGATATGTAGGTCTCGTATCTCGTAAATTGTCTGTTTCTGAGCGTAACTACAGTACTACGAAAAGGGAATTGCTAGGGATTTGCTATGCCTTGGTTAAGTTTCATCGTTTTCTGTATATGCGAGAGTTTACCTTACATACGGACCATAAGAGTCTGATCTACTTGAATACACAGGAAGTCCCCAATGCACTCATGCTTGGATGGTGGGAGACCATTTTTTCTTATACTTTCGATATTGTGCATTTGCCCGGTGTCCATAACGTAATTCCTGATGCTTTATCT